GTTACGGTCTAGGTTTTGTGTTGCCTAAACATAGGTTCATTCAGATGTTTGAACAGTTCTTGGTACATATATGTGTGTGTGTGCGTGTGTGTGTGTATATATATATATATATATATACACACACAAGCAAGAAGAAATTAGTAAAGTATGGCAGTGAAGACCATAAAAATTTGGTATGAGTCATTCTTCTAAGTACATGCACACACTATATATACACATATATATATACATATACATATATATATACACATGCGCACACACACATATATGTACACATATATATATATATTCATAATAGCTAAAACTCCAGCTAGAAATTGGGTTGGCTCATCATAGAAAACAGATACATTGAGGATCCTTGAAAAGATGGGGACACTCCCACAAATATCTTTTCCCTTGTGAAAAAAAAAGGAGTCATTTTGGGAAGAGTCCAGCCTGATGGGGAGACAGGCATTGTAGCTGAGCCCCTTGTGATTTTAATGCCCCTAGTATTTCCGGCAGCTAAAATCAAATAATTTAATTCTTCATTAGGTCTTTGTTCTTAACCACTCTTTCTGCTCAATTCTTTTGGTTTTCATGAATGTAGGCTTAAGTTGCATATGCGATGTCTCTTTGTCAAACAGGAAGAGATAACCTGAGGGTTGTGAGGAAATTTATGAATTTGCTTTGAAGAAGGAAAGAATGTCTCCAAGGTAGCCGCAATTGGGAGTCTAGTACAAAAAAGCATTACCTGTGACTAAAGGAACACAGATTTCTTTACAGTTCCCTGGAACTCCCCTCCCCTACTCCCTAGCTGCATAAAAACTCTCTATTTTTGCTTTCTGGGAGAGATAGATTTGAGAGATCTTTTTCTCCCATCCTCTTGCTTTAGCCAAATTGAATAAGCCTTTCTCTATCTCCAAGCATTGGTTTCTCAATGTTTTGGCTTACTAGGACATCTGTCATAAGAACTTAAAGTTTGGGAGGTAACTCTGCAACAGCATGTGCAGAGCTGCTTCTAGATTAAAAGTTCATTGATTTAAAAGGAGTGGAAATTTTACATAAAACGGAATTGCAATTGAAATTCTTTCCTGTTCAGCTTCCTTGGATATGGGGTCAAAATGAGATATCCTAAAAGAAAAAGAACATCCAACCCTTTCGCCTCAGTCTCTCAGCAACATCTTCATCTTTTCTTAGTTGTTCTTTTTTCAGCAACAGATGTGTAAAGGAATAACCCACTGAGAAGAGCCACCCTGATGAGAGAGCGTGGGAGACACGGAACTGAATAAGACAACATTATGACTGGAGAACTAAATCCAACATGGTCTGCACTGATGTGGGGGACCAAGGCATTTAAAGCGAGGATTTTCCAATTAGGCTCCCAGTCAAGATGGCGGAGTATATAAATGCTGTGCTTGCCTCCTCCCACGACCATATCAAAATTATATCTAAACTACAAACATCATTGAGAATCACTGAAAGACTAGTTGAAGTCCTGTAATTAAAGATATACAGAAGAAGCCACACTGAGCTTGGTAAGAGCATTGGAGACACAGAACAGGCTGGTCACACACCCACATGTGGTAGTTAAAAATCAGGAGGGATATCTCAACTACAGAGGTCCCCTCTGAGGATCAAGGCATTCTGGCCCCACACCAGGCTTCCCAGCACAGAGTTCCAGTCCCAGAAAGAGAAGTCTCCACAACTTCTGGCTGTGAAAAACAGTGGATATTGTGGCTAAATGAGACAGAGGGCTGCTGGAGTATAAGATGTTCCTCTTAAAGGGCCCATACACAGACTTACTTAATGACAGACTCACTCACTCTGAGCTCCAGCTCTGCGGCAGCAGATTGAGAGGGGCCAAGGACATACAAGGAGGAACTGAATTGTTTGGCTTCCAGGTGAGGACTGGAGGGACAGCTTCCTCTCAGACAGAAGTGTTGGCAGAAGCCATGGTTCCTTTGTTGAACCCTCCCTCCACTAGCTTGCATGTGCAGGTGGACGCCATATCTGAGCTTCCGTCAACCTAGCTAACACTGTTTGCCCTGCCCTGGTGATTCCCTGATACCCTGTGCCACCCAAATTGCAGGCCCACTCAAGCCACTTCCAGTGATTTTCCACACAAATGGCCTATTTTGGCTCATACTGCAAGCTTTCCTAAAATATCTCAAAGATTTGCAAAGCCCAAACAAGCAGCATCTGGCCTTTGTGTGCCCTGTACCTTTTGCTGAACAGCCCTAAGCTCAATACTAGTGGCAGCTGGCCTCAGTTCACATCTTAGCATCTCCCAGGCACCTCCACGCCCAGATGGTGGCAACCATCTGAAGAACACTTTGTAGCTCATACTAAGTGGCCCTGGACAGGCACAGACTGTGACTGACCTTGGCCTGCAACAGAGCTCCTCCTAAGATGTCCCCAAACCAACACACCCACTGGCCAGCTTCAGACCACACCAGGGCACTACCCAACTACCTCCACAAATCACACACCCAAAGGGCAGACTTGACAGGCACTAGAGCTCCTTTAAAGCAAATCCTGCACAACAATTTTTCCACTGTAGTCACAGCCAGTTCTCACAACTAATTAGCCTGAAAGTCAGTCTCTCTCATCGACATGCCAACAGCAATCAAGGCTCAACTACAACAGGAGGGCACACACAACCCACACAAGGAACACACCTGGAGTACCTGGTTCAGTTGATCAGGGAGACTGCACCACTGGGCTTCACAGGACACCTACTACATAAGGTCACTCTACCAAGACCAGGAGATGTAGCAGTTCTACCTAATACATAGAAACAAATACAGGAAGGCAGCCAAAATGAGAAGACAAAGAAACATGTTCCAAATTAAAGAACAGAACAAAACTCCAGAAAAAGAACTAAACAAAATGAAGAAAAGCAATCTACTGGAAGCAGAGTTCAAAACACTAGTTATAAGGATGTTCAATGATCTCAGTGAGAACTTCAACAAAGAAATAGGAAACATAAAAATGAAGATAGAGAACATAAAAAATAACCAGTCAGAAATAAATAATAACTAAAATGAAGACTACATTACAGGGAATCAACAGTGGATTAGACAAAGTGGAAGACTGAATCAGCAATTTGAAAGATAAGATAGCAGAAAACACTCAATTAGAACAGCAACAAGAAAAAATAATTTTTAAAAATGAGGCTAGTTTAAGTGACCTCTGGGACAACATCAAGCGTACCAACATTCACATCATAAAGGTACCAGAAAGAGCAGAGAGAAAGCAAGGAATTAAAAATCTATTTAAAAACATAATGGTAGAAAACTTCCCTAACCTGGCAAAGGAAATAGACATACAAGCCCAGGAAGAGCAGAGACTCCCAAATAAGTTGAACTTAAAGAGGCCCACACCAAAACACATTATAATTAAAACACCAAAAGTTAAAGACAAAGAGGGAATCTTAAAAGTAGCAAGAGAAAACCAGTTACCTACAAGGGAGTTCACATAAGACTGTTAGCTGGTTTTTCAACAGAAACTTTCCAGGCTAGAAGGGATTGGCAGGAAATAGTCAAAGTGATGAAAAGTAAAGAACTACAAGCAAGATTACTCCACCTAGAAAAGCTATCATTTAGAATTAAAAGACAAAAAACAAACAAACAAACAAACAAAAAAACACCCAGAGCTCTCCAGACAAGCACCAAACCAGTATTACAAAGAATGTTAAAGGAACTTCTTTAAGAAGAAGAAGGGGAAAAAAAGATCAAAAATGTAAAAAATAAAATGGCAATAACTACATTCTTGTCAATAATTACTTTAAATGTAAATGGATTAAATGCTTTAATCAAAAGACATAGGTAGGTGGTTGAATGTATAAGAAAATAAGACTCTTAAATATGCTGCCTACATGAGACTCATTTCAGATCAAAAGGCACACATAGACTGAAAGTAAAGAGATGGAAAAAGATATTTCATAAAAACAAAAAGAAAAAAAAATCTGGTGTTGCAATACTTATGCCAGACAAAATAGACTTTAAAACAAAGGCTATAACGAGACAAAAAAAGGATCCAGTAATCCCACTGCTGGATATTTATCTGAAGAAACCCAAAGCACTACACCCATATGTTCATTGCAGCATTATTTACAATATCTAAGATATGGAGGCAACCTACTGTATATCAATATATGAGTGCATAAAGAAGACGTGATACATATACACAATGGAATATTACTCAGCCGTTAAAAAAAAATGAAATCTTACCATTTGCGACAACATGGATGGACCTAAAGGGTATTATGGTACATGAAATAAGTCAGACAGAGAAAAACAAATATCTTATGATTTCATTTATATGAGGACTCTGGAGAACAGGATAAATGAACAGACAAAACAGAAACAATCTCATAGATACAGAGAGCATTTTGATGGTTTCTAGACTGAGCAGGGGATTGGAGGGATGGGTGAAGTGAGAGAGGGGATTAAGAGGTACAAATTGATAGTTACAGAATAGTCATGGGGATGTAGAGTATAGCATGAGGAATATGGCCAGTAGTGTTGTAATAAATATGTATGTTGTCAAATAGGAATTAGATTTATTGGGGTGATTGCTTTGTAAGTTTTACAAATGTCTAATCATTGTGTTGTACACCTAAACCCAATATAATATTACATGTCAACTGTAATTGAAAAATAAAAATTATTACAAAAATAATGTTAGACTATAAAAAAATAATAAAGTGAGAATTTTCCTGAGGACTGTGAAAACTGCCCCAAACATATATCTCTTTGTCTTTCTTATACTGCAATTGAGGAGTTGGAAAGGGTTGCATATTCTGAAACTATGACATACAGGCTAAGAAAACTGTCATTGTCCCAAAACAAAAAAACAGAGAGTAGGTTGCATTTTGGATGTTAAGGTGGGAGAGCAGAGAGACACGGAGAGAACTGATCCTCAAGGCCATGGTGCATGAAGCCCCTTCTGCTCAGGGTGGGGAAGCATCTCTAGAGCAAGAAGAGACCCTGTGAGCACAAGGCAGGTTTTGGACTCACTTCCCCATGAACTTGCACCACTGTGGGAAGTGCTACTGCCCGCATATGAGAAACAGTGATAATCAGCCTCGTCCTCAGGCTGAAGCCTGGAGATGATCAGCAAGGCTGTGTTGCCAGACTTGGAGCCAGAGAAGCGATCAGGGATTCCAGAGGGCCGAGTGTTGACATTATAAATCAAGAGTTTGGGGGTCGTGCCTGAGCGCTGTTGGTACCAGGAGACATCATTATATCTCCCAATGTCATTGCTGCTGCCAGCACAGGAGATGGTGACCGTCTGTCCCAGAGCCCCGGACACTGAGGAAGGCTGAGTCAGGGCAGACTGGGCCCAGGACCCTGAAAAAGGCAAAAATACACTCTTGTGAGGTCAGTGTTAGGGACCAGGTAAGCCTGAGGAAGGAGAGACAAAGGAACAGCCCAGATGTCCCCATGGGCCCTTCCCTGGAGGCCTCACCTGTGCCCTGAGAGAGGAGGCTGAAGAGGAGCAGAGCCCAGGCCATGGTCGAGATGCCCTAAGAGAGTTCCCTCTGAGCCCCCAGCCTTGAGCCTGGCTCCCCAGACCTCTCTTATCCCCTTCTCCTGCCTCAGAGGAGGGAGGGGCCTCCATGCAAATTTCCTTCTTGTACCTGCCTCTCCTCAGCCCCCTCAAACCTGGCACTTGATTTCTACAGCTGTTTCTACATCCTTGGATAGGAGAAGGTAGGTGAAAGGAAGAAAACACTTTGACAAGTATATTCTGAGGGACACAAACACCTAATGTTTATACCTGATTTACAAGGGAGAAAGGTCTGCTGAAGTCTTTCATGTAAATGAGGTCCTGGACCTTCAGTGTCCCTGCTGTGAGGTGACTTTGTATCTCTGTGACTCTCTCAAGCTGAGGACACACTCGGCAGCACCCTCAGCTGGGAGCCAATCTTCAGAGTCTCACTGCTGTTAGGAAAGTTTCTCTGCTTACACCTGGGACACACCTGCTGTTGGGAGGTGGTGGGTGGTTGGATCTCCCCTAGGTGCACCATCTTGTCACCATCTTCACCCCCACTTGTTTGTGCTGAAGCCTCTGCAGCACCATAACCTACGGTCTGATCAGTTCCTCCCAAGCCCTTACCCACAGGCCACACAGAGTATCCAGGTATACACGTGAGGGAGCCCGTGGGGGGACCAAGGAGCATCTACCAGAAGCCACTATGCTGAATCCATCTCTGCTTCTCCCCATTCTGCCATTTGAATCTTGTTTGTACAAGTGACTTGTATTTTCTCAACTTCCAACTGTCAACATGAGAAATGAGGACTATACGCCCACCGGCTGTTGTATGTCACCTGAGACTAATGAAAGAGGAAGGTGAAGGTTTGATAATGGCGCATTTGTATGTCAGCAACAGTGATATTTACCAATAACTTTATATTATTCAAAGATGACATTCCGTCTATCTTGGCTTTATTGGTCTGAAAACAAAGATGGATTCCTGCACGTATTTTTCCACCTCAACATTTACACAGGCCAAGATAAAATGATTTCTCAAACACGAGGACACAAAAGAACCGTTGTGTAAATATTTCTTTCTGTTTCTTTCCTTAAATTGTGTTTAAAACTCTTGTTCTTTCCTGTTTTTCAACTGCCAATGGTTCAAAGTGATTTAATTTTTCACAACAAATACAGTTTTTCAGGTCGGAGCTCCATTTATGATGCAAGAAGCATGTGCCACCTTTTTCCAGCATAAAATACAGCTCTAAAACCTGGAGAGAATTCATGGAGGAGTTATTTGAGTGCCTACAAAGTTAACCACACAAAGCAGATTGGGGAAGACGCTGGCATTCGAAAGATCATTGAACATTGGGTGAGTGCCCCATTTTTCCTTCAGGGCCTGGACTCAAGGCAGCTGGAAGGCTAGAAGGGGCACTAGAGAGACATAGACAGAGCTTCAGGATGTGTTCCCTTGTCCACACTTCGGGAGGAGAAAGAGAACTCCTAATGCTCAGAGAAAATTGAAGATCTTCACATTTTCTTTTCTTTTGTTTTTTCTCTCTCTATTTCCCATGCCCGAAGCCCCAGGTGAATCTCCTGTGTTGTCAGCAATGACGACAGTGGTCGTGGACCTTGCCTTTCTATTTCAGAGCTGTTTCTAAGAGCGTGGCACAGAAACACATTGCTTCTCTTGCAGTTTATACTTCTGCCTCTTGAAACAGACATAGACACTGACACAGCAAGAGGCCATCAGTACGAGGGAACTAAATTGACAATTTTTTTTTGTCCAGAAAACCAAAAAAGGCAACGCCAGGGAACCAGAAGTTCTTGGGCGATTGTGCAGAGACATAAGCTTGAGAAAGTCATTCTGATAATTGTTTATGATTCTTAGTCTTCACTCTGAGCTGAGCTGGCACAGATTCTAATAAGTTATAAAGATATTGGGAAAATGTTTAAGAAATTGTCAACTACCTGGAACCCAGATGGACCATCGTGTAGCTCACACTTAGATCCATCCAAATACCAAGTCAAAAGTTTTGTAGATTTTATAGATTGAACTGATAGAAACCACAGAATTCTGGGTGGAATTGGCAGCCTGTACTTAACTGGGCAGATTGTCTGCTGAAACGAAAATATCAAGATAGGATTAAAACAAGATCCATAGTTTCATCACATAATGTTGGGTATATCCAGGATAGAATCCAAAATCACTTGCATATGGAAAACCAGGAAAACTCAACTACATAGAAATGACAATTATAGAGTCTAACTTAAACATGACGGATACATTGGGAATATGTCACAAAGACTTTAAACCAGCTTTAAAAAAATAATACCAGAGATATGAACAAAATCTCTTGAAATAAATAGAGAGATAGAAAGTGTCAGCCAAGAAATAGAAGATAAAATGAAGCACAAACTAGAATTAGCACAGATGAAAACTATACTAGATGGGACTAACGGCAGATTGGGCATTGAAAATAAAAGATGTATGACCTCGAAGTCATAACAATGAGAATTGACTAGTGTAAAGCACATGAAGAGAAAATAAATTAAAATATATATATATATATCACCAATAAATATAGGACCAAGTCAACTGACCTAATATACATATTATTGGAGTTTCTGAAAGAGAAGACAGAATGATGGAAAGAAACACATATATCCAGAAGCTCAACCAACCCCAGCCACTAGAGATGTGAAGAAAACCACTTTAAGACTCATTATCATCAATTCTTATTTGCGTGGACACATTTCCAGATCCCTCTTTGGCTTCCCTCATTGATTATTGATTTATTACTAAAATGTCAACTAGACAAGTCTGTTCTCTGACAAACCTATCACATCTTTTCTTTCTCTCTCTCCCTCTCCCCACCTTCAAGACACAAACTCCAGTCACAAGAGAATTCTCACTGTCTGTCGTGAAATTGAAAGGATACACAACTATGTTTGTTCTTTCCTAAACCCCACTAAAACTGTACTGAGTGTTATAGCCATATGTTAGAGTTTTATGTAAGAGACCAAGGAACAGGGAAGTAGAAAACAACACAAACTTGGAAGCCAGGATGCATGTTGACAAGCGGTAACTGACTTAGACCTGACAGAGCCCCATCCCAAGTTTGCAATGGTTCCAACCTGAAATATCATATTTTCTTTTCATTCTGTTGTGAGTAGGAAGTGAGGAGCTGAGATGAATGAAAACATTAGAAAAATTAGGAGCTATTACAGGTCCTCTCTCCTCCTAGTAGTGAGAGTGGTAGACAGACCACTGCCCACCAGCCTTTCCCTGCAGAGGATGAAACTCAGTTCTCTGGATGAGGGAGGCCAGGCAGAGTTGAGTCTGAAGGTGTCATGAAGAGAACCCTACGTGCCTCATGTGTATTGTATCCTCTGCCACCTCTTTCTAAAGGTCATCTCCCACTGATACCTTTCTCTAGTAGGCAACAGATGACTGATTCATCTATGATTAACTGACATATCCCAGGTGCAGACAACTGTGTTACCATCCTGTAACATTTGGTAATGTGTGGCCTGGATTCTAACTTATAGTTCCTTGACCGCACTAGGCTTGTCTTGACATGAGCCGTTCTCCAGTGTCCAGACTGGCCAAGAATAATTTTTTTCTCTTCCTCCCAGTGAAATGATCTCAGGTGACCCCTAGAGTCCATGCTGAACTGTGTAACAAAAAACGTGGGCCTCTGATCTCCTGCAATTAGTTCTGCTAGAGAGCCAGGATCTGGCCACCTCCAGCAAGACCAGACCCAACTCTAGGATCCCTTCTCTCTCTTCTGGGGTCTTGTCTGCTGTCTTCAGGCTCCAATAAATCCCAGGGAAGAGATTGAGCTTGAGCCACTGTTAGTGTAAATGTCTCCTGGGGCCTCACCTGATAGACACATTATCCTTTTCTCACTCAGTTGTTGTGTTGCTTGTTCCCATTGTCTCAAAAATATGTTGTTTGGGGATGCAGACCTAGAAAGGTATGGGCAAGGAATGAAAGAAAAGCAATAGAGGGGTTAATACCGAAGCCAACATAGTAGCTAATTGGGGGAGTGGGATAGATGGATATGCTTTGGATGGTTTCCATTTCTTCTTCTTCTTCTTCTTCTTCTTCTTCTTCTTCTTCTTCTTCTTCTTCTTCTTCTTCTTCTTCTTCTTCTTCTTCTTCTTCTTCTTCTGCTTCTGTTTCTGCTTCTTCTTCTTCTTCTTCTTCTTCTTCTTCTTCTTCTTCTTCTTCTTCTTCTTCTTCTTCTTCCTCATTTTATGCACTCTTCTTTAGAAACGATGCATTTCAGAATGGAAGGAAAGCTGAAACGTACCTGAATTCTTTTCTTTTCCTTAGGTACACAGAAAAAAACTCAGGACGAATGCAGGATGTGGAGAGTTTTTGTGACAAACCACAAGTACAAGGTGAAAAACCTACCCTTGTAGACTTTTGGAGGTAATAGAAGCAGTCATCTAGAACATTTGACAAAGACACTGGAAAAGAAAAAGAAAGAGCCAATAGCAGGATAAAGCCCCCTCACTCATTTAATGAAGCTGAGGCTTTGACCCCCTCTGTCCCTTCTCTAGCATGTCCAGGACACGTTCAAACAACAGGTAGAAAAGAAAGAAAGATGCCCCTTAATGGGGAATCCTCAAGAGGTGCTAGGATGAGATAAAAATGAAGTCTTGACTGCCTCCTAAATATCTCTCTGAGAAAAAGTATTATATTTTTATTTCCTCATGTGAAGTGATGGGAACCTAGGATTTTCATGCCCTAGATCCTGAAAGAACCACTCTGGCTTTGAGAAGAAAAGACAGAAAAATTAATGAGATTCCATCAATTGATTCATAGAAAAATAAAATGAGGCATATCTATACAATGTACTATTATTTGGCATGAGAAGGGATGAAATCTTGACATATGTTTCAACATGAATGGACCTTGAAAACACTTTAATAAATGAGAGAAATCAAACACAAAGGACCACATAGCATGTGATCCATTTATGTAAAATGTCCAGAATAGGCAAATCCATAAAGACATAAAGTAAAATAATAGTTGCTAGGGGATGAGAAAA